ACACTTTTGATCTAACCTGTACCAACAATGCTTAGATTGTTTAAGTGGTATTAAACCCATTTTTTTAAACTTTAAACCGAAAGTTTAAGTTTAACCGAAAACTGTAAATTATCTAAATGATAAAGTTCGAGGCAGGGTTGTGTTTGCTTGGACCTGACACTGCCCTGGGCTAGATGTGTTTTCTTAGTTTTTTTAGATACAAATTTGTTATTTGGGTTAAAGAAACCCTTATTTACACCATCAATATACAAATTCGACCACAGTATAACTCTGTCTGGCACTTCCTTTCTTTTTATTGTTTACCGTTACAGCCAATCAATATATACAAAAATCGATAGTTTTGATTTCCTATTTTTTCTGTTCTGAGCTTCAATCGATCGTGCTAAAAGACACCCTAGGGCGGTCGGTTAGCCTAGTGGTTAAAGCGTTCGCTCGTCACGCCGAAGACCCAGGTTCGATTCCCGACATGGGTACAATGTGTGAAGCCCATTTCCGGTGTCCCCCGCCGTGATATTGCTGGAATATTGATAAAGTGGCGTAAAACCATACTCTCACTCACTCACTTAAAGACACCCAACATCTTTCATGTGGCTGGTTACAACAGCTGGTGACTCATCCCTTCCACCACTTTCACTTTCACTTTCACTTTCACTTTCACTTTCACTTGCCTGCTTGTCGGACGAGGGCTCGCTGCCTTGGTTGATGCATGTCATCGTATCCAAATTGCGTATATCGATGCTCATGATGTCAATCACTGGATAGTCTGGTCTAGACTCGATTATTTACAGACAACCGTCATATAGCTGGAATATTGCCGAGTGCGGCATCAAACAAACAAACAAACAAACAAACAGAACACTTTCACTTTTATTGCAAATAAAAGTCCTTTACTGTTGGTAGGGGCGGTCGGGTAGCCTAGTGGTTAAAGCGTTCGCTCGTCACGCCGAAGACCCGGTTTCGATTCCCGACATGGGTACAATGTGTGAAGCCCATTTCTGGTGTCCCCCGCCGTGATATTGCAGGAATATTGCTAAAAGCGGCGTAAAACCATATTCACTCACTCACTTTACTGTTGGTGTATTTCTGAAAATTCTTGCCTCCATATTCTAGTTATTCCATACGTTTGTCGAATTTGACAGAACAGTCGATAAAAATGTGAGAACTTTTTACATTAATCTTTAAATCTTTCTGTCATTTTTTGGAGGGCATTTAAAACGGTTTGTGTTCTATGTGAGTTTGAAATATACCTACGATACTGTATGATTATTATCTCGAGTTAGATTAGACCTCAACTGATATAGGGTGAGTGAGTGAGCGAGTTTGGTTTAACGCCGCTTTAAGCAGTATTCCAGTAATATCACGGCGTGTCAGCTAAATGTGGGAGGGAAGTCCGAAGTGATGCAGGTCTTAGACGTTTGTCACTTTGTCAAAACACAAGAGCACGGGAACGGTGACAAATCTAGAAACAAACAGGGCGAAGCGGGATTCGAACCCACTATCCTAGATTTCTGGAGTGCCCAGGGGATGCAACTCTGCACAGCGAATTGCGGCGCCTCAGACGATTGGGTCAAACATGCCCCACACTGATATGGAGGTCAGACGCTTTGACAAATTGTGCGTAGGATCCGTGCTCATACTTTCAGTTACTGTTTATGTTTTGGTACTCGATCCATGGCAGGCTGTTGTCTGTAAACAGTGACGTTAAATAACATTCAAGCTAGACAAAAAATAACATTTATAAATCTTTATACAACCTATTCCAACTCTGAAATCCATGTACTGAAACACATTTATCTTATCATACTCATAAAAGTCGGATTCTTATTGGCTGGGAACCTTTCTATTATTTTCTACATACCCCTTAACATTTAAGACACATTTCGTATCTCCCCCGCTCGAATTGTTTGGGTACGAATATGTAAGAATACCACAGTTTTGTATTTATAGCAGACGCGGAAACAAACTTAGAGTTATTGCCCCTGGATCTATTTCATTCGGAAAATATCGTAAATATCCGGGGAAAGGCCTCTCACATCATTAATTCGAGATAAGACATACCTGCATAGATAAGACATACCTGCATAGATAAGACATACCTGCATAGATAAGACATACCTGCATAGATAAGACATACCTGCGTAGATAAGACATACCTGCGTAGATAAGACATACTTGCATAGATAAGACATACATGCATAGATAAGACATACCTGCATAGATAAGACATACCTGCATAGATAAGACAAGCCTGCATAGATAAGACATACCTGCGTAGATAAGACATACCTGCATAGATAAGACATACCTGCATAGATAAGACATACCTGCGTAGATAAGACATACCTGCATAGATAAGACATACCTGCGTAGATAAGACATACCTGCATAGATAAGACATACCTGCATAGATAAGACATACCTGCATAGATAAGACATACCTGCATAGATAAGACATGCCTGCATAGATAAGACATACCTGCATAGATAAGACAAGCCTGCATAGATAAGACATACCTGCATAGATAAGACAAGCCTGCATAGATAAGACATACCTGCATAGATAAGACAAGCCTGCATAGATAAGACATACCTGCATAGGTAAGAGATACCTGCATAGATAAGACATACCTGCAATATCATGAGGTGTGCGGTAAGATACATTCGTTGTCGACCGGTCAGTCGGGTGACATGGGTTGAACATAACCTAACAAAGGCAACATCAACCCATACTTGCTCGGGTGTACCCTCTAGCCTTCGGGGAACATAAACTAACAGAGGGTACACCAACCCATACCCCCTCGGGTGTACCCTCTAGCCTTCGGGGAATATAAACTAACAAAGGCAACATCAACCCATACCCCCTCGGGTGTACCCTCTAGCCTTCGGGGAACATAAACCAACAGAGGGTATACCAACCCATACCCCCTCGGGTGTACCCTCTAGCCTTCGGGGAACATAAACCAACAGAGGGTTCACCAACCCATACCCCCTCGGGTGTACCCTCTAGCCTTCGGGGAACATAAACCAACAGAGGGTTCACCAACCGATACCCCCTCGGGTGTACCCTCTAGCCTTCGGGGAACATAAACCAACAGAGGGTTCACCAACCCATACCCCCTCGGGTGTACCTTCTAGCCTTCGGGGAACATAAACCAACAGAGGGTTCACCAACCCATACCCCCTCGGGTGTACCCTCTAGCCTTCGGGGAACATAAACCAACAGAGGGTTCACCAACCCATACCCCCTCGGGTGTACCCTCTAGCCTTCGGGGAACATAAACCAACAGAGGGTTCACCAACCCATACCCCCTCGGGTGTACCCTCTAGCCTTCGGGGAACATAAACCAACAGAGGGTTCACCAACCCATACCCCCTCGGGTGTACCCTCTAGCCTTCGGGGAACATAAACCAACAGAGGGTTCACCAACCCATACCCCCTCGGGTGTACCCTCTAGCCTTCGGGGAACATAAACCAACAGAGGGTTCACCAACCCATACCCCCTCGGGTGTACCCTCTAGCCTTCGGGGAACATAAACCAACAGAGGGTTCACCAACCCATACCCCCTCGGGTGTACCCTCTAGCCTTCGGGGAACATAAACCAACAGAGGGTTCACCAACCCATACCCCCTCGGGTGTACCCTCTAGCCTTCGGGGAACATAAACCAACAGAGGGTTCACCAACCCATACCCCCTCGGGTGTACCCTCTAGCCTTCGGGGAACATAAACTAACAGAGGGTTCACCAACCCATACCCCCTCGGGTGTACCCTCTAGCCTTCGGGGAACATAAACTAACAGAGGGTACACCGTCCCATACCCCATCGAGACTTCAATCCCCATTTTCCCCTAACATCAAAGAGTTTTTATCGTTTTGTTTCCATGAAATACCCGGAGTTATTGAAATAAATCAAGCGTATTTTTAAGAATTACAGCATTTGTTTTAGACATTTCACTTCAGTAATGAGAGGGAGACAGGCTGAGACTGACCCGGACATGACGGTTATACACCTCATAGGTTTCTGTTCACTCAACCATAAATTGTCTTGTTTTCAGCTGTCTTACTAATGTGTGTCTAAAGAATGCCAGGTCTCCGACACTACACATTATCTGACTTGCATTATCATTTTAAATCAGGTCAACTTTGGCGTCTCGAAAACAGGATACGAAAAGGGGGAATTAACCGCTCGGCGTTTTTAAATACTACATCTCCAGTTGAAAACCAATCAAGTTGATGTCACCAGTCAAGGTTTTCTTGTAAGGCTAGATGTGGCTACGGGTGTCGTTGTACCCGGAGGAGTGTTGCTTGTTTAAAAGCCTTGCTAGAGCGCTTTAATAACAGAACGCCGTGATGTACTTTGTCGGGCAAAAGAAAGTATACATCCTTGTCTGATGGTGGTGATAAAAATGACAAACAAACAAGACATGGTTGATGGTGAAGTATTTGATTCGAGTATCATAGGTGATATTACATGCATCATATCAGTGAGTATCGCACACCAGGTCACGTGCACATAACGTCTCAAGAAACATGGGGGGTCGGGGGGTGTCGCAATTTCACAGTCCACAGTTATGAGCAGAGTGAAGTGAGAATGTTCCAGTATATACTTTCTTCTGCCCCGCAGGTTTGATATAGAGGGACTATTGCTTTCTGTGGCGTCATAGAATACCATTCACTCAGTCGCACATGTCTGCCATCCTTGACAAATTGCGTGTCAGTGTCCCCTTACACTATGGGCGTTGCTCACGCTATCAACCACTAGTTTGTCATTCCCCGACTCCATCATTAACACCCTGACGTGATGTAACAGGATTATGTTGACAGCAGCGTGATAAATCAACAAACAAACAAGCGTAGTTGTCCAATTGATGCGTATGCCAAGTTCGTCCTGCAAAGATATAAGTTTTCTGTGAGTCCGCCATGAATAGGACACAGGGAAGTATGTTGTTTCGTTTGATTAAAGACGCAAATGCATTCACTATTTTATATTCACAGCATACGTTGATGTGCGTTCCTTCATTTCTGGTGATGAGTTTCCTTGCCGCTGAGATAGTGGGCGCAGATCATGACAGTCTTATTAGAACCCAACTCTTTTCTACCGTAATATTTACATCAGGCGCCTGTACCCTGCTTCAGACAGCACTAGGTGCCAGGTAAGTGGTAGCATGTATTAACTGTCACCCTTTGTCTTGTTTGGGGGGAGAGAAGGGTTGCCTCATATGTGGATTCGCCAATCATATCTAAGTTTACCGCTTTAATTGTCTTAACGCTGGGTACACTTCGTGAATATGGTCCCCGACACATAAATCCCCACACCCTGCACCAAACAGAGCATATCCAACACTCACCATCCCTCAAACCCACACACCACACCACACCACACCACACCACACCACACCATACACCACACCACACCACACCACACACCAGATCACACCACACCACACCACACCACACCACACCACACCACACCACACCACACCACACACCAGACCACACCACACCACACCACACACCAGACCACACCACACCACACCACACCACACCACACCACACCACACCACACCACACCACACCACACCACACACCACACCACACACCACACCACACCACACCACACCACACCACACCACACACCAGACCACACCACACCACACCACACACCACACCACACCACACCACACCACACACCAGACCACACCACACCACACCACACCACACACCAGACCACACCACACCACACCACACCACACCACACACCAGACCACGCCACACCAGACCAGACCACACCACACCACACCACACAACACCACACCACACACCACACCACACCACACCACACCACACCAGACCAGACCACACCACACCACACCACACCACACCACACCACACCACACCACACCACACTATACACATTTCACACTTTTACATACACTCAACACACCACACACTACACGCTACACACCACACTCTACACACCACACACCAGACACATCACACACCACACTCTTCACACCACACACATCACTTTTACATACACTCAACACACCACACTCTACACATCACACACCACACACTACACGCCACACATCGCACACCACACGTCACACCACACCACACACTACATACTCCGCACCACACACGTCACACTCTACACATCACACACCACACCACACCACACACGTCACACACCACACTCTACACATCACACACCACACCACACCACACACGTCACACACCACACTCTACACATCACACACCACACCACACCACACCACACCACACACGTCACACACCACACATCACACACCACACCACACCACACCACACTCTACACATCACACACCACACCACACCACACCACACCACACCACACCACACCACACCACACCACACCACACACAAGACACTCAACACATCACACACCACGACACACCACACCACACACACCACACTCTACACATCACACACCACATCACACACCACAACACACTCAACACATCACACACCACACCACACCACACCGCACTCAACACATCACACACCACACATCACACACCACACTCTACACATCACACACCACACCACACACAACACACCCAACACATCACACACCACACACCACACTCTACACACCAGACACCGCACCACACACTACACTCCGACTACAGCGTAACTTGGCCACGTCAATCTACCCGGAAGTTGGTGATGCTTGTTTATCATGGGCCTGTTCAACAAAGGGAACTTCGCGCTAACACTTTCATAACGCCCACTTTTTAACATAGCGCTGATTTCGCTGTGTGCAACGGGCCCCAGGCTCAGGTTATTTAATGGTCGCCTTGAGAAAGATCGAACATAGCCGACTGCGGCACAAAACACGACTCATTCATACTGATTCCTTGTGGCAACTGAGAGTGCCTCGTTGCCATTACTCTTTCCCCAGGCTGCCGATGATCCAGGGTCCAGCGGCATCATTTCTACCTGCCTTGCTGGCAGCCCAGAGAAGCAGGGAGTGGTCTTGTACAGGTGAGTTGATGTGTGTGTGAGTGAGTGAGTGAGTGAGTTTAATGCCGCTTTAAACAGTATTCGAGTTCATGTCGGTGTTAGAGGAAAGCCCGAAGTGAGGTAGGTCTTAGAACTTAACACTTTGTCGAAACCCACGAGCACGTGCATGGTGCTGACAAACCTAGAAACATAATCGGGACTAACCGGGATGCGAACCCATGATCAAATGTTTCTGGCGTGACCAAGAAACGCAACGCTGCATAGCGAATTAGACGAATGGGACACTCAGCACCTGTGCCCCTAGTGAGTTGGTGAGTTAGCGAGCGTGTTAGTGTGCAGGTGAGCGAATGTGTTGGTGGAGGGAGTGGGTGACTGAGTCTGGTCGGGTGGGTTGGTGGGTGGGTGTGGGTGCGGTGGGTTGGTGTTTGGGTGGATGAATGGGTGAGTGAGTGAAAGCCCTGGGTTGGTGTGGGGGAAGGAGGGAGCAGGGCCGGCGTTGTGTTACGTCTATTCTCCAGGAGAGATCGCGCCTGGGATCTTGGGGACAGTACAGTAACTTCCTGATTGAGGCCGAGCAGGTTTCGAGTCATTGTCCTAACATGTCAAAGTCAACACTGTATCCGGGATTGCTAACTTACCCGGGGATGACAAAGGACCTACACTCAGTGATGAAGTCCTCCTGTGACTGTTGTGTGTGAGTGAGTGAGTGTGTGAGTGAGTGTGTGAGAGTGTGAGTGAGTGTTAGTGTGTGAGTGGGTGTGTAGGTGGGTTGCTGAGTGAGTTATTGAGAGAGTGGGTGGGTGGGTAAGTGAGTGAGTTAGGTGGGTGGGTAGGTGGGTGGGTAGGTGGGTCAATGGGTGGTTCAGTGAGTGTGTGAGTGTGTAGGTGGGTTGATGAGTGAGTGAGTGGGTGTTGATTTTTGAGTGAATGTGTATCTGGTCGGTAGGTGGGTGGGTAGATGGGTCAGTGGGTGAGTGTGTGAGTGTGTGTGAGCGTGTGAGTGAGTTTTAGTGTGTGTGGGGGTGGGTTGGTGAGTGAGTTAGTGAGAGAGTGAGTGGGTGGGTAGATGGGTCGGTGAGTGAGTGTGTGAGCGTGTGTGAGCGTGTGAGTGAGTGTTAGTGTGTGTGTGTGGGTGGGTTGCTGAGTGAGTTAGTGAGAGAGTGAGTGGGTGGGTAAGTGAGTGATGGTTAGGTGGATGGGTAGGTGGGTTAGTGGGTGGTTCAGTGAGTGTGTGAGTGTGTAGGTGGGTTGATGAGTGAGTGAGTGAGTGAGTGTTGATTTTTGAGTGAATTTGTATGTGGTCGGTAGGTGGGTGGGTAGATGGGTCAGTGGGTAAGTGAGTGTGTGAGTGTGTGTGAGCGTGTGAGTGAGTGTTAGTGTGTGTGGGGGTGGGTTGGTGAGTGAGTTAGTGAGAGAGTGAGTGGGTGGGTAGATGGGTCGGTGAGTGAGTGTGTGAGTGTGTGTGAGCGTGTGAGTGAGTGTTAGTGTGTGTGTGTGGGTGGGTTGCTGAGTGAGTTAGTGAGAGAGTGAGTGGGTGGGTAAGTGAGTGATGGTTAGGTGGATGGGTAGGTGGGTTAGTGGGTGGTTCAGTGAGTGTGTGAGTGTGTAGGTGGGTTGATGAGTGAGTGAGTGAGTGTTGATTTTTGAGTGAATGTGTATGTGGTCGGTAGGTGGGTGGGTAGATGGGTCAGTGGGTGAGTGAATGTGTGAGTGTGTGTGAGCGTGTGAGTGAGTGTTAGTGTGTGTGTGGGGGGGTTGCTGAGTGAGTTAGTGAGAGAGTGAGTGGGTGGTAAGTGAGTTATGGTTAGGTGGGTGGGTAGGTGGGTCAGTTGGTGGTTCAGTGAGTAGGTGAGTGTTGGGTTTGTTGAGCGAGTGTGCGAGTAGGTAGGTGAGTATGCGAGTGGGTAAGTGTGTAGATGGGTGCGTGAGTGAATGGGTGAGTAGGTAGGTGAGTATGTGATTGAGTGTGTGAGTGTGTAGGTGGGTTGGTGAGTGAGTGAGTGTTGGGTTTGTTGAGTGAGTGTGTGAGTAGGTAGGTGAGTATGCGAGTGGGTAATTGTGTAGATGGGTGAGTGAGTGAATGGGTGAGTAGGTAGGTGAGTATGTGATTGAGTGTGTGAGTGTGTAGGTGGGTTGGTGAGTGAGTGTGAGAGTAGGTAGGTGAGTATGCGAGTGGGTAAGTGTGTAGATGGGTGAGTGAGTGAATGGGTGAGTAGGTAGGTGAGTATGTGATTGAGTGTGTGAGTGTGTAGGTGGGTTTGTTGAGTGAGTGAGTGTTGGGTTTGTTGAGTGAGTGTGAGTGTGGTGGGTAGGTGCATGGGTAGGTGGGTCAGTGGGTGGCTCAGTGAGTGGGTATGTGAGTGGGTTGGTGAGTGGTGGCTAGGTGAGTCGGTTGGTAGGTGAGTGAGTGAGTGTTGCTTTTGTGAGTGAATTTTTGAGAGAGATTAAGTGGCTTAATGGACAAATGGTTGGGTGGATTGGTACGGGTGAGTGAGTGAGGCAGGTAGTGGATTTTGTCCTTGTTTGCTGTGTGGCTAGGTTGTGTGTGTGAAGGAGGGATGTGTGGAGAGAGAGGTGAGAGAAAGGGTTCCAATAATAATACAACAGCAACAACAACAATAACAATGGCAATAACAACACCAATAATACTAATACTTATACAAATACTGATACTAATAATTCAGGAAAAATATGGCAAATATGCGGACCGCGCTTTCGAAATGTAAAGGTTGCATCCAAAGTACCAAGTTGTCCGTCTCCCATTTGTTCTCGGTGCCTTAGGTTTGGTCCCTCCCAATCTGTTGACTGACATTGGGAGAGTACCCGGGTTTGCTGCCAGGAATACAGCCCTTCTGACAATCTGGGTAATGCAGAAGGCTGTAGTGTTGGGGAGTCTTCACACCCTCCGAAAAGTTCTGGGTGGGTTCGACTAGGTAGCGCTTCCCTGGGAAGTCCCATTCGTTGTTACGGCTGCGTGTAGAGGTGGCAAGGGCCCTGAACTGATGATGAGCCTAACTAGACTGACTGTGCCAATAATAATAATAATAGTAATAATAATAATAATAATAATAATAATAATAATAATAATAATAATAATAATAATTCCTTTGCAGATAGCAGCACAGACAACAACAGCACAGACTACAACAGCACATACTACAACAGCACAGACTACAACATCACCGACGATGGTTACAACAACACCACCTCAACTCTTGATACTGTTCCAAGGGCCGACTTGCCGACCTGTTTGAGTCCCGAAGACAAACTGAGAGAAGTATGTGTATCGAAGTTTCGTACAATGATTGTCATTGCTTTGCAGAAGGTGTTTAATGGTGGGAGACTAAAGATCCTAATTAATATAACGCCGCGCTATTTCAGTTATATCATGTCGGCTCAATGTGGGAGAAAAGCCCAAAGTGATGCAGGTCTTGTTGTTTACCACTTTGAAGAAAACCGCCAGAATGGAACTTGGAAACATAATTTGAGCGAACATGGATTCGAACCTAGGACGGAACGTGGACCTATACCGTGATTTGATCTTCCTTTATGCACACTTCCCTTATCGGTCAGTGAGTGAGTGAGTTGTGTAACACTATTTCAGTTACTTGTATATCACGATGTGTCAGCTTAATGTGGGGGAAAAGTCCGAAGTGATGCAGGTTTCGGACGTTTACCACTTTGGTGACACCCACGAGCACGGGTAAACACTGCTACCACACGTCTGCCGAAAATCTTATAATGCTTTAGGTGAGGTGAAAGGGGGTTCAAGATTATCGCCCTTATTCATCATCCAAAACTGGTTCCCATAGGTGAGATCAAGCGACATCAACATTGTAGGTATCGCTGCGATGAAATTGCATTATAATGCCTTGCAGACCATTCTACCAGGACATTGGTGAATGCCTGATTCTGATTGGTTATAAAGAGTTTGCCTTTTTGCTACGGAAACACCTTTCAAATATATTAAACCTTTGCACACAAAAAACGTGCGTATGAATACATCGATAGCCTCCATATCGATTCATGAAAAAATGACTGCCGATCGATCATTCCCATATGAGCTGTACAACATATCTATATCTGTATATATATTTCCCCTATTACACGATGGGTCTCAAACACAAGCCAGGACTCTAAGACACGCTGAGTCAAGGGCTCTCACGTAATTAATAGACGACCTAGCATCTAATAGAGGAAATACGGTAGTTTGATATCGGATGTTTTCGGCGTTCTTGTCCGCAACCCTGACTGCGACGTTGATGACATTACAAAATTTAACGAAGACATATTTTGTTCCATGCAAATGAAATGTTTGTGAAACTCTTAGGGACATTCAATGGCGACAAGAATCCTCATTGAAAAAACGACAATGACAATTAAAACAAGAAAACATTATAAAGCATGTTTGATGAAACGTTATTCATGACAACATGTGGTTAACAAACCTTTTTGAGATCGATATTCATTGCCATCTCCTTCTACCACCACCGTAAGGATTTGGCAGGATAGGGTGTAAAAGTCCATCAGAAACACTCCTAGATTCTCTCTTCGAAAGGCAAAAACAATGTCCCGACATCACTGAAGTCAAAGCACACTCGATCATAGCAACCTTTCAAACTTGATGAGATTCATTTCAGAACACGCACAATTAAGAAAATCATTCACGGAATTAAACATTGTTTCTGGGCCACAAATGTCACAATAATTTTCTTTCACGCGTGAAAACTTAAAGTTGACAGGTTAAATCATGCAGATTCCTCGTGTCTAAATAGCCGACGTGTCTGCAGTCGCAAAAGCGTCTCGCCTGCAGCCTGAAAAGCGGCTGTTCAGTCATACTCCCTTTCCATTGGTAATGACGTTGTACCAGCAGGCTCATTACCCGTGAATCTACGGGTTAATGTTGACCCACATCATATATCGGGGTTGTCATCTTGCTTCGTAGTGAGTGAGTGATTTGTGTTTAACGCCGCTTTTAACAGAATTCCAGTTATATCACGGCGTGTCAGATAAATGTGGGAGGAAAGCCCGAAGTGATGCATGCATGTCTTAGACGTTTACCACTTCGGTGAAACCCACGTGCACGGGTATGGTGCTGACAAACCTAGAAACATAATCGGGGCGAACCGGGATTTGAACCCACAATCATAGGTTTCTGGCGTGCCCAAGGGACGCAACTCTGCACAGCAAATCGCGGCGCCTAAGACGACTGGGCCACCCGTGCCCCCTCTTGCTTCGTAACCTGTCTGCTGAGGCACGGAAAATGTAAACATTGGCAGCCATATTAACAGCTTTGAAGTTGTAACTGTGATGTAGGTCAAGTTCTGCCACATCCAAGTTCGGGGTGGAGAGGCGTTTATTTTGAGTTTTTATTATTTACTTGGGGTAATTGCTAACTAACAAATAGACTTACACATGCAAAATAAATAGTAAAATGTTAATTCATAAGGTGTGTTGTAGAAATATATTTGTTAAGCGTTTTAAAAAAAATCATTTCTACAACCTGTCGCCCCTACAATGGACATGGCATGTTCGATGTGGGACTACATCAAATTTCAAATCACAGTAGATTCATCTCCTTATTCTGACTTCATAATCAAACAACATCACCAATGGCTCTGCTACTGAAGCTGTGAGCAGTACTTTTTTACACTTAAGACACCGCTTATTACTGTCTACAAACGGAAAAAATTGGAAGAATGATGTTGGATGATAAATAAAATTTCACCATCGTGTCTCTTGATATATTTGATATCAAAAGACACGAGGGTGGTATTCCCTATATAGCGGCGTGTGTGTGTGTGTGTGTGTGCGTGTGCGTGTGCGTGCGTGCGTACGCGCGCGTGCGTGTGTGTGCGTGCGTGTGTGTGTGTGTGTGTCTGTGTGTGTGTGTCTGTGTGTGTGTCTGTGTGTGTGTGTGTGTCTGTGTGTGTCTGTGTGTGTGTGTGGCTGTGTGTCTGTCTGTGTGTGTGTTTGTGTATGCGTGTCTGTGTGTGTGTTTCTGTGTGTGTGTCTGTCTGTGTGTCTGTGTGTGTATCTGTGTGTGTATGTGTGTGTCTCTGTGTGTGTCTGTGTGTGTGTCTGTGTGTGTGTATATGTGTATGTGTGTGTATGTGTATGTGTGTGTGTGTCTGTGTGTGTCTGTGTCTGTGTGTGTGTCTGTCTGTGTGTGTGTGTCTGTCTGTGTGTGTGTGTCTGTGTGTGTCTCTATGTGTGTCTGTGTCTGTGTGTGTGTGTGTCTGTGTGTGTCTGTCTGTGTGTGTCTATCTGTGTGTGTGTCTGTGTTTCTGTGTGTGTGTGTGTGTGTGCGCGCCTGTGTCTGTGTGTCTGTGTGTGTGTGTCTGTGTATGTATGTGTGTGTGTCTGTCTCTGTGTGTGTGTGTCTGTGTGTGTGTGTCTCTGTGTGTGTGTCTCTGTGTGTCTGTGTGTGTGTGTCTGTGTGAGTCTGTGTCTGTCTCTATGTGTGTGTGTGTCTGTGTCTGTGTGTGAGTGTATGTCTGTGTGTGTGTGTTTGTGTCTGTGTGTGTCTGTGTCTGTGTGTGTGCCTGTGTGTGTGTGTCTCTGTGTGTGTGTGCCTGCGTAAGTATGTGTGTGTGTGTCTGTGTGTGTCTCTCTGTGTGTCTGTGTGTGTGTGTCTGTGTGTGTGTCTCTGTCTGTGTGTGTTTGTCTGTGTGTGTGTCTGTGTGTCTGTGTCTGTGTGTGTCTGTGTCTGTGTGTCTGTGTCTGTGTGTCTGTGTGTATGTGTGTGTGTGTCGTTGTGTGTGTCTGTGTATGTGTGTGTGTCTGTGTGTGTGTGTCTGTGTCTGTGTGTGTGTGTGTCTGTCTGTGTCTGTGTGTCTCTGTGTGTGTGTGTCTGTCTCTGTGTGTCTGTGTGTGTGTGTGTTTGTGTGTGTGTCTGTCTGTGTGTGTGTCTGTCAGTGTGTGTGTCTGTGTCTGTGTGTGTGTGTGTCTGTGTGTGAATGTGTGTGTGTCTGTGTGTGTTTCTGTGCCTGTGTCTCTGTGTGTGTCTCTGTGTGTCTGCGTGTGTGTGTCTGTCTGTGTGTCTGTGTGTGTGTATGTGTGTATGTTTGTGTGTGTATGTCTGTGTGTGTGTCTGTGTGTGTGTGTGTCTGTGTGTCTATGTGTGTGTCTGTCTGTGTGTGTGTCTATCTGTGTGTGTGTCTGTGTGTGTGTGTGTGTCTGTGTGTTTGTCTCTGTGTGTGTGTGTATGTGTGTGTGTCTGTGTGTGTGTCTGTGTGTGTCTGTCTGTGTGTGTGTCTGTGTGTGTGTGTTTCTGTGTGTGTGTGTCTGTGTGTGTGTCTGTGTGTGTGTGTATGTGTGTGTCTGTGTGTGTGTCTGTCTGTCTGTCTGTGTGTGTCTGTGTGTGTGTCTGTATGTCTGTCTGTCTGCCTGTATGTCTTTGTGTCTGCTTGTACAAATCCTGGTCCGGACTAATGTCGGTTTCTAGTGCCAGCCCACTGAGATACCATGCCGCAAATTAAAATGGAAACGCCACTCAGACACAGTATATTGACATCGAGCTGACCAGTTCCTATTTTTTCTCGAGCGCAAGGCAGGGTAGCAGCAAGTACTATCTGTCACGTCTTTGGTATGAGTGAGTGAGTGTGGTTTTACGCCGCTTTTAGCAATATTCCAGCAATATCACGGCGGACGACACCAGAAATGGGCTTCACACATTGTACCCATGTCGGGAATCGAACCCGGGTCTTCGGCGTGACGAGCGAACGCTTTTACCACTAGGCTACCGGACCGCCCCTCTTTGGTATGACGCGGCCGGTAATAGAAACACCGACTTCCCCTCTCCGGTTGGACGCTCTATCCACTAGACCATGGAGGGCGGATGACAAGGAATAATAGTGATGATGATGATGATGATGACGATGATGATGATGATGATGATGGTAAAAGTTGTACTTTCAGATATCTGGAAGTTTAATGGCTGCCTCGGCTGTTGAGATCCTCATTGGCGGAACAGGACTTGTAGGTCTTCTCATGAAGTTTGTAGGACCAGTTACAGTGGCCCCTACCATTGCTCTGGTGGGACTGAGTGTGTACAAGGTGCCCATTGCCTACACACGGTCGTCATGGGAACTATCCTTACTGTAAGTACAAGTTTCTATCACATAGTGGATAGTGTTATCGACAATATAAAGCGACGAAACTCTGTCCTGATCAGTCATTTGTACGATACCGACTATATCATAAGCATGTGTTTATGAATCACTAGTCCTGCACCATGTCCGTGGGATATATTTATTTTATGAAAAGAAAATAATCTAGAAATGCAGACAAAAGCAAGTCTAGCCAGCTCAAGCTAGCTCTATTCCACAGTCATGTCATCTGAAATCAGCATAGGGAATTTTTTTTATTTTCAGAGTCAAGAAGGATATTGTGTAATATAAGATTTCAGAGACTTAATAGTGATGACACCAGGGAAGCTATTCCAATAAACGTGTGTGTGAGAGAGTTTGGCTTTACGCAGCTTTTAGCGAATATCCCAGCAATGTCATGGCGGTGGACAACCTATTGTACAATTGTAGACCAAATTAATTAACGTTAAAAGTGAAAATTGTTGCCAAAACATTATGATGTCCGTATCAATTTTTTTTTTAAACATCACCATCGAATGTTGTTTCATTTCTAGCCACTATAAAACATGGGTGTATGCTCTATTGTTCCCGGCAGTTTATCATACATTAGAATGGAAATATATATATGTAAGTTACAGAAACAAACTCGGATATAATCTCACGTGATGTACACACAATATCTAAGATTCATCGCCATAGAACGTTATACTCAGAACAACTGGCACACCACATATCTAAACATGTGCAGCTCATTAGTATGCTCAAAGAACAAAACAAATTGTTTAAATGTTTTTTCACCAGAGGTGTTGTGTTGGTCGTGCTGTTTGCGTTGTACCTTGGCCATATCGCCGTGCCCTTCCCCACACGGAGCGCATGTTGCGCACAGCACAGGAGGAGAAAGAGCAAGACTCATGGCGTGCTCATCTTTCAGCTACTTCCGGTACGTGGAAACAGTCATGCGATTATCAGTAAACATTTATTCTTGAGTCAATTTTAAATGTTGTTATAAGTGAGTGAATGTAGTTTATGCTGTCAGAATATGACAACCCGAAACCAATTGAAGTCAACTCTTTCAAGTTTGAAAAACTGGGTACTTATTCTGACCCAGAACCCGCATGGTGTGAAGCCTAAACATGATTTATCATCCAAAACTGGCTCCAACAGGAGATGTCGCTAGGGTGAGATCAAGCGATATCTACTTTGTTGTGGCAGTTGTTGTCACTGTTGTAACTGTTTTCATAACTGTTGTGACTGTTGTAACTGTTTGTGACATGTTGTAACTGTTGTGGCAGTTGTTGTAACTGTTGATTTAACTGTTTTTGTGACATTTTGTAACTGTTGTTGTAACTGTTGTTGTGACTGTTGTTGTGACTGTTGTAACTGTTGTTGTAACTGTTGTTGAAACTGTTGTGACATGTAACTGTTGTGGCAGTTTTTGTAACTGTTGATGTAACTGTTTTTGTGACATGTTGTAACTGTTGTTGTGACTGTTGAAAATGTTGTTGTGACTGATGTGACTGTTGTTGTGACTGTTGTTGTGACTGTTGTTGTGACCGTTGTAACTGTTGTTGTGACTGTGGTAACTACTGTTGTAACTGTTGTTGTAACTGTTGTTGTGACTATTGTAACTGTTGTAACTGTTGTTGTGACTGTTGTAACTGTTGTTGTGACTGTTGTAACTGTTGTGACTGTTGTAACTGTTGTTGTTACTGTTGTTGTGACTGTTGTTACTGTTGTTACTGTTGTTGTGACTGTCGTGACTGTTGTTGTGACTGTTGTTGTGACTGTTGTGACTGTTGTTGTAGCTGTTGTTGTGCCTGTTGTTTTAACTGTTGTTGTGACTGTTGTAACTGTTGTTGTAACTGTTGTTGTAACATCAGGTCCTCCTCAGCATCCTCGTAGTGTGGGCCGTATCTGGAATCCTAACACATGCAAACGTGTTCCCTACAGACCCCGCCAATCCAAGGTTCAAGGCCAGGACAGATGCCAAATCTACGATGTTACATCGCACACCTTGGTTTTACGTCCCCCACCCAGGTAAACAACACTGTTAAAGATTGTTTGTTTGTGGTTTAACGCCCCATTATTCCAGCTTTATGACAGCAACCTGTAAATAATCGAGTCTGAACCTGACAAATCAATGATCGATATTGTGAGCAACGACCCACGCTGTCTGGGTACGATGACAAGTAATCAAGCAAGTCACCGAGTCTCACCAACAGATCCATGTGGTCACCTCTTACGACCTGCATTGGAAGCTGGGGATCTATCCTGACCCTACGGGGTTGTTAAAGATAGTATCTGAGTCTTGCTAACTGGCTGGAATAATAAACGTGACCCGAATACCTCACAACGGAAGTCCCTCTCTGCAGCAAGACTTGATTTTGAAAGATTTCGCGAAACAATTAAGTAATTACGTGAAAATGTCCTCTTTTTGTAACGCAAAGCCTACGTATACGGTCATGCCGTTTGCGAAATGCCCGCTTGTTCGCTACATTTATTGGTACCCAAATATGGAAGAGTTCTGGGTGAATTAAATTTTTTTGTGATTGCCTGAACATAAATTACGTCATGTGAATTGCTGAGAAGTTACGATGGCGCTACTTTCGATTCATTCACAAATGTGACCCGTGAAGATCCGGGCTACAATAGGTCTTCAGCAACCCATGGTTGCCGTAAAAGGCGACTATGCTTGTCGTAAAAGGCGACTAACGGGATCGGGTGTCAGGCTTCCTGACTTGGTTGATTCTTGTCATCGATCCCAATTGCGGGGATCGATGCTTATGATATTAATCACTGGATTGTCTGGTCCCGACTCGTTTATTTACAGACCGCCGTCATATAGCTGGAATATTGCTGAGTGCGGCGTTAAACAACAAACCAACCAACCAACCAATCATTCACAAATGTACAACCAGCCACACGATCACAAAACACGAGGCTAACTGCTGTTTAGATTTCAAATAAAAGGTATGTGTGTGTTTTCTAACAAATGATATTTCTGTATTCTTTTGCAAAAAATAATTACAAAACTAATTTGCCCCTTTCTTGCAGACTATATTAAAGTGTCGCAAGGATAAAGTACGTTATTTTTGTTTATTAAAAAAAAGTCAGAATTGAGCACCTGTTTATGTTATTGTGCTTACCGTCAACTTTGGTTTTGCAAGGTGAGTTTCAACAAGTTCATGTACATATATGTTTAGTGTACACCACCATGTCTTCTACTGTTTCAGGCCAGTTTGGAATGCCGTCGTTCAACATAGGACTGTTTATAGGATTCATAGCAGGGTTCCTTGCCTCCATTATTGAGTCTGTAGGGGACTACTTTGCTGCGGCCAAAGCGTGTGAAGTCACCACTCCACCGAAACACGCCATCAACAGGGGGATATTTATAGAAGGGCTTGGGGGACTACTTTCTGGAGCGGTGGGATTTGGCCTCTCCACAACATCGTACACACCCAACATTGCTGCTATGACTCTGACTAAAGTATGTTCACTTACTCAAAAGAGCTATTTTCTCGGGATATAAACAAGTTGCAAGTGATTTCGTGGAATTTGATTGGCTGACCATTAGGTCACGCCGACTACGGGCTTCTGATTTTTGATTGGTAGATTGTAGAATGACCCGGCTTTGTTGTATTGTTGCGCTGAACGACATAGCTGATTTCTTTTGTTGTCCTCAGTCCTTGGTTGTTGATTATTAAATAAGTGGTCTGTGAACGTGTCATTGTTGACGTATGTATTCATAAGAATTGACTTCAATATGGGTTTTTTTGCGTTTCTGGAGTCTTAAATGTATAAACCGGCGTGCACACCATTGTGACCCTGCATTGTGGACTTGTTTTTGATAAGACCGATTTTAAATGGCCAAACTGAGCTAAATACTTTGATTGATTCGTACCATGCCACTGTTGCAGACAGCTCACCGCTACATCATGTACAGTGCCGGTGCCATTATGCTGGTGCTGTCGGTCGTGGGGAAGGTCGGCGCTGCCCTGGCCACAGTACCGGACCCAGCTCTAGCAGGTGCTATCGTAGCGACATGTGGCATGATGGTCACCCTCGGACTCTCTTCGTTACAGTACGTCAATATGAACTCTTCCAGGAACCTCCTCATCGTTGGGATGGCTCTGTTCATTGGCATATTTTTGCCAGAGTGGTTAGAGAGACACCCTGAGGACTTCGAAACAGGTTTGTCTCTAGCACTAATAGTCACCGATTTTTCGTGCACACCTGTAGGTGAAAACCCTTTTGAGATCACTGACAGCAAACATGTGTGAGATCGAATTTCAGGTCCGTGATTGGCTACTCCATGGCGATTACCTGAGGACTTCATCTGTGACGAAAAACTTTATGATTTTAGAGAGTTTCATATATATTCTTTAATCTTTCTAGTTTGCATTATCATCGTTGCCTTGATAATCCACAGATATGGCAGACCACTTTATGTCGAGGGTCACACTAGGTGTGGGTAGTAAGCAGTAAAGAGGACGACGTCACTCATGACCTTTCTGTTATGTATTAATGCGCCACTGCGAATCACGAGAATGGACACAATTCTAAAATGGTGCGACCTATAGGTGTATAAGAACCAGATTACTGCATTTTTCCTGCCATATACAATTTATCTTTCAATTCGTTGTTGTAAAACGTACCTTTTGCTCACTAGATAGCTGCAAGATAGATGGTGTCTGACAGATAATAGTGTGGCCCGATGTGATATGATTCTCTTTCAGGGGTAAAGGACCTTGATAAAATTCCGCAACTTATTCTCGGAACTCCGATGCTTCTTGGTGGCCTCATCGCCATCTTCCTGGATAACACCGCGAAAGGTAAACATTCTTACCAATCACTAAACACTCGTCATTGAATTACGATTGAGTCAGGGACCAGTGCCACATGGCGCTACGGTGATTTTAACTCCCATACTGATAGGCCTACAATTGCCGTAGCACTAGGATCGCTTCGTTGGACAAGGGCCAGATCTGTTGAGAATATATGCGATTCAGGGAACTGTAAATACTACATTAATACATTTAACGAGTTTTTCACAGAAGGGTACATGTTTTCACCCGGAACAGCTTTACTAATTTCCTCGATATTTGTAAAAGAATAACATGTTCCCTAAATTGTTTGGGATAAAGTAATGTGTCCAAAGGCTACAAACAAAAGAATTGTCCACTGGACATATTAGATGTTCTGTAAATAATGAGTTGTAGTCCCAAAATACTTGTTTGGCTCAAGTTACTTGATTGAAACCTATTTCTCTTGTATTCTACAGCTAACTGTGTGGTTTTGTCGACCTACTCCCTCAAGAGGATTTGTTTGTTTGATGTTTAAGGCATCACTCTGCAATATCCCATCCATATGACTGCGGTTCCCACAAGATGAGCTTAGTGGAGCGTTCCAATCATACTCGAGGGTTGCCTCGTGAATGTATTGCCTCCATGTTCTCTGTGTGGTTGCTTTGTAGAATAGAGATGTGAATATAAAACCCCTTTTTCAACTACACCTTTTACAGGATCACGGAAAGACCGAGGTATTGACGCTTGGCAGAATCTTCTTGGGACCAACACCAGCATCACACAGAAGCCCATGGAGACGTCATCAGACAATACGTATGGATGGTTCTGGCAAGGTCGACTGTATCAGTACCTGCCCTGCTGTTCACGGCTCCCCTTCATGCCTCCAGGGACAGGGTTAGATCGTACCCTCACGTCTCCATCCCAGCCAGGTGGGACGCCGGATAATGTCAGATCACTCTTGGGAAACTCTAGTGTGTAGTTCCTCTTCGGGCCGTGCATTTTATATTCTGGGGTGGAGGTGGTATTTTCAAAGAACACCCCCTCCTCATCAATAAGTATCATGATTTTGGTCTCCGGCCGTATCATTTTCAACCCTCATCGGAGGAAAGTTTTATTTTCCAGATTCCAAGGGCAGGCAACTATGACAAGCCATTTCAAAATCGAACGTACAAACTGCCCATGACGCACGGTGCCTCTCGTGTCTGTGCAGGTGGTGTGTTGGGGGGAGATGATGAGGTCCTTGTTGTGGACGTGCCAAGGACGTTTAGACACCATGTTAACTTTTATGAATCGCTTCGATAATATTAATGTTTACAAAAAGGTAAAATTAAGCCTCGTCATAGTGTCATTTTAGATCAAACAATAAGACAAAAAACATAGTGCATTTTACTTTTGGGCTTAATAAACTGAAATTTGTCATCGGGTTTTACAAATAGAATTATTTGCTCACGCTGGTCATGCAGGAAGTTCCACAAAAAAAACTTTGTTTGATTCGATTTTTTCAGAGATACTATGTTTTGATATGCTTAAAATTTGTTACCCAAGCTGCCTGCTTACAACTCGTGTGTGTGTGTGTGTGTGTGTGTGTGTGTGTGTGTGTGTGTGTGTGTGTGTGTGTGTGTGTGTGTGTGTGTGTGTGTGTGTGTGTGTGTGTGTGTGTGTGTCTGTTTCTCTGTCTCTCTATATACCTGTAAATTGCTTTGAAACCGACGTGTTAATTTTAGCTTTGGATATGACAACATTTCAGGTTCGAAACCACTAAATTGAAACCAAGGCAGGTTTATTTCCATTCTACCATGACAGTGATGACATAAGTGCGGACTACGAGTATAATGACCTTCTGTTGACCTCACTTTTCCACGTATGTACATGTATCTGGCCTGGACACATTTTGTTATTCATATTCCACCGCAATAAAATCTTCCCAACAGCTGTGTTTTCTGTTTTCCAATGTTAGCGGAATATGTCATATCTTGAGAAAATTTCACCATTTTCTCTGTTGTACATGGACGTCGTAATTTCATCAATATGAAACATCAACGCTGGGGAATAATCATCCCGATTATCTGCCCAAACAGATTCCACTGGGCATAAAAGGCAAAATAGTGGTGTAAATGATATGAATGGATCATTGAAAATTAGTAATGACACCAGGTGAACGCGAAAAGGGAAGTCATGACCTGCTCTACAAGTAGCACCCGCCACTCGCAAATTAATAAAATAGGAAGTGTTGCTTCCTGTCTAACGCAGCACAGCACCAACGTTGTTTGTACTATATAATGTGTGAGTCAAGTGTGTGTTTAAGTAATGAGATTCCTTTTCGAACCCAGGCCCCAATTGAACAATGTGATCTTTCCACTACGACTGTAATAAGCCTAACTAGTGAGAGTTAGGATCATCTTAGCGCTGAGATCGATTTGTGCATGTGGACCCATGTGCGTAAGACTCGGTGAGCCAGATTGGGTGGCTGGGTGAGTGAGTGTTTTATCGACGCCTTGAACAACAGTATATGAGTTATCTATGTTGGCTTTAGATAAACCATAAGTGGTGAAGTTGTTAGACTCTTACCACGCAGGTGAAACAAGAGCACGAGTATGTTGCTGACAAACCTAAAAACATACCTACGATCAATGGTTACTCGCACATCATTGCGACACGGTTTTCCGGATCGCCGTCATATGGCGTGAAATACTGCTGTGTGTGGCGTTGATAAAATGGCAAACAAATAAAAATGTAACCCTTTCGTCCAGTGCTCCGGTTATTTCACTAAGATGATACCTTAAAATGGTATACAAGGATGTTCTTAATCTACATGTACCATGTCAATGACACACCATGTCAATAAATGCATGTTTTTGACGGTGGTAAGACAATCCAGTGACTGACATCATGAGCAGCGATTCACGCAATTGGGATAGGATGACATGCATCAACCAAGTCAACGAGCCTGACCACCCGATCCCCTTTAGTCGCCTCTTACGACACGCAAAGTCGCCTCTTACGACACGCAAAGTCGCCTCTGAAGGCCATCAGGGGTTGCTGAAGACCAATTCGGTACCCGGAACTTCAGGACGAAATTAAAAAGAGTAAAATGAGACGTCGGTATATCTAAGGGTTGATCAACACAAATCTCGCTTGGACTTGAAAAATTATAGTTACGCATTACTGTAGTAACCAGTTGTTTCTGAAATGCTTCATGAATTACTTTTGACAATAAAACATATGAACTATTTTTTTTCATCGTTTTGATGTTTGTTAGAATATTTAGAAAAATATAAGCGACAAAACCCTTTCCACATTCATAGAAAGTTTCTGTTAAAAACAGAGTGGATTGTACAATTCTGACTATATCATGAGCACGTGTTTATGAATCACTGTCACATAGTAATGATAGCAGGTGTTCGCAAAAAGGCATCCTAACCCAGCGGGGCCCACAAACACAAGCATAGAAAAGTCTATTGTTCACCATTTTTACAGCCTATTGATTCTATTATTATCTTTTAGCAGAGTTTTATTACGATTATGGAAAGTGTTTTGTCTCTTTCATACATGTAATTGGTCAACGTAGTTCTTGATGCACAGCAAGAATAAGTTTGGGTTCTCTTTCCGGAAGATAAACAGGAAATTTCTGTATACCTTCCCACAACGAGTCCTGCCCGGAACACTACATACATACAAACAAAGATATCTGAACAATGAAGGTTACTGAAGGTGTTCGGTAGGTCAGGATTAAGCGATGCAGATTCAAATTGTCTCCATGTTCTGTTTCTATAGTATATAATGTAAACCGGGGAATATATCTGACAGTTGTAGTAATATTCATTTCATTTTAGTCCTAAATATCCCCTGAAAGCTGTGATGTCTGGAGACGTTCTTTCGGGAAGACAACTTTATTGACAAAGAATCCTTTAAACACTCTCAGATGGTGAGTGTTTTGATGAACAGACATTAGTTTTGTTATGATGATACAGCTCTGAATTCAAGACTAAAGAGTTAGAAACAACGCTTCGGTATCTAATTTTAAGGGTTTCATTTAAAAGCACAATCGGCATTCGTGAGCTACATTGACAATGAAGCAAAACCTCAAGTTTCACTTTTTTCTATTAAAATACCGTTCAGACTCATGGTACGACCCTCTACAATACGAAGATAAGGTTTTGTGTTAATCAAATATCCATTATACATGGATGTGTATTAGCTTACATATCAATTTGCCAAGTTCATCATTGAATTATTTATCTGGAAAAGTTGTAAATGGGTAAGGGTTGTAGGTACATGTTGGAAGGAGGGCTTGCAAAAACAGCAAGATTGTTGTTTGAATGGTTTTGCTGATCTGCATTGTGTTGACACTACATCGTGTCAGTTCTATAGTAATCATGATACACCAAGGTGTCAGCTTTATACTAATCATAATACTACATCGTGTCACCTCTATAGTAATCATAATGCTACACGGTGTCAGCTCTATAGTAATCATAATACTACATCGTGTCAACTCTATAGTAATCATAATACTACATAGTTTCAGCTCTATAGTAATCATAATACTACATTGTGTCAGCTCTATAGTAATCATAATACTACATCGTTTCAGCTCTATAGTAATCATAATACTACATTGTGTCAGCTCTATAGTAGTCATTATACTATATCGTGTCAGCTCTATAGTAATCATGATACTACATCGTGTCAGTTCTATAGTAATCATTATACTCCAGGGTGTCAGCTCTATAGTAATCATAATACTACATCGTGTCAGCTCTATAGTAATCATAATACTCCACGGTGTTAGCTCTATAGTAATCATAATAGTACATCGTGTCAGTTCTATAGTAATCATAATACTACATCGTTTCAACTCTGCAGTACTCATAATACTACATCGTGTCAGCTCTGCAGTACTCATAATACTACATCGTGTCAGCTCTATAGTAATCATAATACTTCATCGTTTCAGCTGTAAAGCAATCATAATACTACATTGTACCAGCTCTATAGTAATCATAATACTACATCGCGCCAGCTCTATAGTAATCATTATACTACATCGTGTCAGTTCTATAGTAATCATTATACCCCACGGTGTCAGCTCTATAGTAATCATAATACTAAATTGTGTGAGCTCTCTAGTAATCATAATACTACATCGTGTCAGCTCTCTAGTAATCATAATACTACATCGTGTGAGCTCTCTAGTAATGATAATACTATATCGTGTCAGCTCTGCAGTAATCATAATACTACATTATCTCAGCTCTATAGTAATCATAATACTCCACGGTGTCAGTTCTTTAGTAATCATAATACTACATCGTGTCAGCTCTATAGTAATCATAACACTACATCGTGTCAGCTCTCTAGTTATGATAATACTACATCGTGTCAGCTCTATAATAATCATAATACTACATCGTGTCAGCTCTATAGTAATCATAACACTACATCGTGTCAGCTCTCTAGTTATGATAATACTACATCGTGTCAGCTCTATAGTAATCATAATACTACATCGTGTCAGCTCTATAGTAATCATAATACTACATCGTGTCAGCTCTCTAGTAATCATAATATTACATCGTGTCAGCTCTATAGTAATCATAACACTACATCGTGTCAGCTCTCTAGTTATGATAATACTACATCGTGTCAGCTCTACAGTAATCATAATACTACATCGTGTCAGCTCTCTAGTAATCATAATACTACATCGTGTCAGCTCTATAGTAATCATAACACTACATCGTGTCAGCTCTCTAGTTATGATAATACTACATCGTGTCAGCTCTATAGTAATCATAATACTACATCGTGTCAGCTCTATAGTAATCATAATACTACATCGTGTCAGTTCTATAGTAATCATTATACTCCACGGTGTCAGCTCTCTAGTAATCATAATACTACATTGTGTCAGCTCTCTAGTAATCATAATATTACATCGTGTCAGCTCTGCAGTACTCATAATACTACATCGTGTCAGTTCTATAGTAATCATAATACTCATGGCGTCAGCCTATAGTCATCATAATATTACGACGTGTCAGCTCTGCAGTACTCATAATACTACATCGTGTCAGTTCTATAGTAAACATAATACTCACGGCATCACCTCTTAAGCAATCATAATACTACATCGTGTCAACTCTATAATAATCATAATACTACATCGTGTCAGCTCTATAGTAATCATAATACTCCACGGTGTCAGCTCTATAGTAATCATGATACTACATCGTGTCAGTTCTATAGTAATCCTAATACTCCACGGTGTCAGCTCTATAGTAATCATGATACTATATCGTGTCAGTTCTATAGTAATCCTAATACTCCACGGTGTCAGCTCTTTAGTAATCATAATACTACATCGTGTCAGTTCTATAGTAATCATAATACTACATCGTGTGAGCTCTCTAGTAATGATAATACTATATCGTGTCAGCTCTGCAGTAATCATAATACTACATTGTGTCAGCTCTATAGTAATCATAATACTACACGGTGTCAGCTCTTTAGTAATCATAATACTACATCGTGTCAGCTCTATAGTAATCATAATACTACATTGTGTCAGCTCTCTAGTAATCATAATATTACATCGTGTCAGCTCTGCAGTACTCATTATACTACATCGTGTCAGTTCTATAGTAATAATAATAATCACGGCGTCACCTCTTAAGCAATCATAATACTACATCGTGTCAGCTCTATAGTAATCATAATACTCCACGGTGTCAGCTCTATAGTACACGGTGTCAGCTCTATAGTAATCATAATACTTCATCGTGTCAGCTCTCTAGTAATCATAATACAATATTGTGTCAGCTCTATAGTAATCATAATACTACATTGTGTCAGCTCTCTAGTAATCATAATACTACATCATGTCAGCTCTATAGTAATCATAATACTACATC